CCGTCATTGTTGTTTGGCGGGTCCGGGCTGGGGATTCGAACCCGCCACCTTAGGTGTACGTGGCTGACGCCTTAGCCAGTTGAGCTATAGGCGCCAAGCCCTTCAATCAGATTTGTACCAAAAATTATGAATAGTTTTTGGCAAATTAGAATGGAGACCTTATTAAAAACAAAAAAGAAAGAAAAAAGAAGCTGTGTGTTTCAGTATAGAAATTTAATATTTGCAAGATGTATTGTTTTATCAAATTATTTAGAGTTTGTCAGAAAAATAGAGAAGAGAGTTTTCATTTGTAATAAACTAAAGTTATTTTGATCAGTGTATTTTTCCGTATTAATAAATATTTCACATATGCTGCTATTATCAAAAAGGCAGTGGTCATAGTATGAAATTCTTTGAACTAAATCTAAGTTTTATTAGTATTAATTATTCATTACAGAAGGAAGCTTATCTAACACATGGAATGAAAAGTACAGTTCTTTACAGAAAACACCTGTTTGGAAAGGCAGGAATACAGGCCCTGCTGTGGAAATGGTAAGGAACAAGTTTTTCTTACATTTTAGAATAGTTAAAGCTAAATTATTAGCATGTTTAGGTTCTTAAAGCATACCATAAAAAGGCTTGGCACCCATACCACAGTGGTTACGGTGCCAGCCACATACATCAAAGGTGGCGGGTTCAAAACCAGCCTGGGCTTGCTAAACAACAATTACAACTGCAACAAAAAATAGTCAGGCGTTGTGGCAGGTACCTGTAGTTCCAGCTCCTTGGGAGGCTGAGGCAAGAGAATGACTTAAGCCCAAGAGTTGCAGGTTGCTGTGAGCTGTGACGCCATGACACTCTACCAAGGGTAACATAGTAAGACTCTGTCTCAAAAAAAAAAAAAAAAGCAGACCAAAAAATTTACAAGTTTTTAAGTGTCATTGAGCACTGTTTTATTTTCTTTAGGTAAATTATCTATAGCCAGAGATAATCTGGTCATCATTTAGTGTTAAGTAATTATAGTTTCTTTAAATAGGGAAAACAAAACCAAAAATACTCCAACAACCTCAAATCATACTTTTAGTAGTTATGTAAAAAATTTACATGGCTTTGGTTCTTGAAAAAATATGTACATGTAAGTGCATTGAAATCTTGTATAGCTTTAAAAAAATCCTTGTGTAAGTCAAGGGTAAGTGTATGTGGAGGTAAAAAGTGGAAATGACTATATAATTGTCATGAGATTAGCAGTTTTAGGAACTCTTATTTTTTCCTTGCTCTGCCGGGTAGCCAGGAAGTTTTAGGGGTCAATCATGAAATAAGCCCAGAGCTAGGATAGAAAACAGCAGTCACAGTAGCCTGGGCAGCTGGCCACAGTGAATGGGAGGGATTTCCCCTACTACATGAGGTACTCTCCATCACTTTCGTGCCCTTCCTCTTCTGTGCCTGTGGTCATGGAAAGGGAACAAAGTAGAAGAGACTTCTGTCGGGGCTGTTAAGAGTGTTGAGACTCTCAGTGGGTTTAATCTCAAGGGTCCGTAGATCCAATTGTATTCTACCTGTATGGTATTAGCCCTCTGTACCTGTCTTATCTCCAAATAGGCATGAAGGTCTGTCTTGAGAGAAAAAGCATGTGGGTTTTATTGGGGTATCATTTCTCTCATTTCTGTTAATGAAACCTGTGAATATAGAGTGGACTATAAAATTTTGCATATTATGACACTTAAGTGTGTGATATACTTTTGGCATTTAAAAAAATTTTTTTAGTCCAGGTAATAGCTCATACCTGTAATCCAAGCACTCTGGAAGGCCAAGGCAGGAGGATTGCTTGATTTTAGGAGTTTGAGACCAGCCTAAGCAAAAGTGAGACCCTATCTCTACTAAAAATAGAAAAATGGGCTCAGTGCCTGTAGCACAGTGGTTATGGCACCAGCCACATACACCAAGGCTGGAGGGTTTGAACCCAGCCCAGGCTGGCTAAACGACAGTGACAACTGCAATAACAACAGAAATAGCTGGACATTGTGGCAGGTGTCTGTAGTCCCAGCTACTTGGGAGGCTGAGGCAAGAGAATACCTTAAGCCCAAGAGTTTAAGGTTGCTGTGAGCTGTGACACTATAGCCCTCTACAGAGGGCAACATAGTGAGACTCTGTTTTAAAAAAAAGAAAAATAGAAAAATGAGTTGGGCATTATGGTGGGGGCCTGTAGTCCCAGCTACTTATGAGGCTGAAGCAGGAGGATTGTCTGAATCCAGGAGGTTGAGGTTGCTGCAAGCTAGGCTGGCACCATGGCACTCTAGCCTGGAGCAACAGAATAGAGTGACAGACACTCTGTCTCAAAAAAATACATAAATAAAATAAATGAATTATTTTAGTTCTACATATAATTATTGATGATTTATCGTATGTATCTTGTATTTTTCTTTACAACTAGAAATTCATTTAGGCTTACTCCTCTAGAGTGATAGGGTATCTGTGTCCCAGCACAGCCTTTTGTATCAAACATATCGTGTCATATACCCAACTAGTATTAACCCAAGTGTCCAATATAATTTGACCTGGAATTTCTAGAACTTTTCCTGTCTGCAACATTTAAGGCTGCCAGTATACTAAGGAGACTTGGGTTCTAGTTTTAGTTTTCAGCTAGGTATTTTTCCTTTGTAAGCAAATTGCATAAATATATCATACTGCTTTCTAAATCTAAGATTATTTATATTTGGCTTTGTGTACTTTGGGTTACTCATATTTTGTTCTTTCACACAGCTGATGATCCAGAGTTAGCTCTGTTTTCCAAGTATACAATTGTATTTTGGAACAAAAATGGGAAGTCTTCACCTTTTTCATTAAATAAAAAATTTCTATCATAGCCTTTCAGAAATTCAAAACGAAGTCGACTCTTTTCTGATGAAGATGATAGACAAATAAATACAAGGTCACCTAAAAGAAACCAGAGGGTTGCAATGGTTCCACAGGTATGTGTGTACTAAAATTTTGTTTCATGTGAAAGGAAGTAATTATCAAGCATAATAAATTTTGTTATTTATTCTATTACATTTTGAACAAGTTCTTTTCTTCAAATCAGTACTGCTGCTTTGTTCTTATTTTAGTTACCTAGAAAGTGTCATCATTTTGTTGATCAACTTTATTTTATTTTTTTTTTTTAGAGACAGAGTCTCACTTTCTCACCTCAGTAGAGTGCTGTGGTGTCATAGCTCACAACAACCTCCACCTCTTGGGCTTAGGCAATTCTCTTGCCTCAGCCTCCTGAGTAGCTGGGGCAACGCCTGGCTATTTTTTGTTGCAGTTTGGCCAGGGAAAGTGTGAACCCGCCACCCTTGGTATATGGGGCTGGTGCCCTATTCACTGAGCCACAGGCACCGCCCTGTTGATCAACTTTAAAGTAGATGTAGAAAGCTAGTTTCAGTCCTACAAATGTACAGTTTTCTTTGAAGCATAGAGATAGTGAGATAATGTAATTTTTCTTCTATCAAACTCTTACATACTTGATGATAATTTCAAACAGTAAAGTATGTTCATGTTCTATAGAATAAACAAAAATGTATCTTGAACTTTTTATTTTTTTGAGACAAGGTCTTGTTCTGTCACCCAGGTAGCAGCAGTACTGTGGTATAATTACAGCTCACTACAGTCCCTAACTCTTGGCCTCAAGCTGTCCTCCTGTCTTGACCTCCTGACTAGCTAAGACTTGCACCCAGCTAATTTTTTTTCTTTTTTTTTTT